TTTTATTTTTCAATTCATATGTTTTTTATGATTGTCTACTGTTGTACTGATAAATATTTCCTGGAGGGTAAACTATATCTTGGCTGCAAGTATAAAGCTGTGAAATCCTTAATTTTCTACAATTGATAACAGATGGTTATTAATTAGTTGAGTAACTTTTCGGTAAACATTCGAGCGCCGTGGCTTCAGTTGTGTGTTGTTCTTGTTCAGTCCAGGGCGGGCAGTCTGATTTTGGCCAGCCACGCTCAGTCAGTCCCTCCTCCGAGACGGGCAGACTGAGCGAGACAGATCGGACGCAGCTGGCCGGGGTTGGGCTGCCTGCTTCTGGTTCAGTGAGAGGAGAAGAACACTGAAGCCACGGAGCTCGAAAGTCCAACGTAAAACTAACTTTACCGCGGTTTAGTGTGGCGCTATGGCTCTGCAGACATTGCACGTTGCTGTCTTGTTTTGTGGTGCTTCTAGTGTAAAATACTTCCACACAGTGGACATGTTTAGATAAAAAGTTGGTTAGCTGTTAGCTACAGTGCTGCTAACTCAGTCCTCACGTTGTAGATGGCTGCAAACTATGAAATGGATTTCCTGACTGTGAGGCGGGTCTTATTACTCAGGAAATCCTTTCCATAGTTTGAAGCCAACGTGCAGAGCAGCCGGCAGGGAATCACTTGAGGAGAAGTTTCATCAGACACAGACATGCATCATGGATCGGAAATCTCTGCAGGTTGGATCGGAAAAATCCGATACGTAAATTATGCTATATCGGAGGCCGATACCGATACTGGATCGGATCCATCTCTACCCAGCACTAAAAGAAAATATGTGTTGTGATGCCATGCAAACGGGCCAAGATAGCTGCCTCCTGACGAAGTCTGAGTGTGCTGAGGCAGGTGTATAAACTGGAGAAGAAGCAGAAAATATCAGGGAAATACTTTGTAGAAAATGGAAAAAACTCATTTGGTGAGTATCCTAGCATCAGGACTGCCTGCCATTAAGAAGGTTTTTCTAATTTTGCTGCGATCCAGCCATGCTCTAACAGGTCTGTAGATCATAGCAAGGGTGGTGGGATCATTATTTAATCTGAACTGGCTCTATTTGGCAAACAGGATAAACTGATGGACAGCATGCAACACAACAAAATTAATCAAAATTGATAAAAAATGAAATTTATTGAAATATATATTGAAAT